CTGAGGGTCTGTATACTCTCGGAAGATAACTTCCTCTACGCGCAAGGTGCTGTGTGACCCCGTCACAGGGATGTTGTGGGATCAAGCCCTCTCACCGCACCCAGTTTCACCAATCTGGAGCTAGAAAGTCGAGTATCAATGGGCTTGAAGCAAAAGGAAACACCGGTGTATGATGGTACTGAAGACGACGACATCGACGTGTACGTGCTCAACATGATATCGTGGTACGCAGCATACGGTCTTTACTTGAGTCAAGATCAAGTCGGCTGGCGTGTTGGTGAGCTCATGTTAAACTATACAAAAGGAACCGCAAAGAAGTGGCTCCTGCAAGACTATAAGGGCGAACGACGCTGGAGTCAAATTGTGGAAAAAAAATGAAGCAGCGATTTGTGACCCGACCCCGAGAAGAAGACCTTGTTGTGAGCTTCTTCGATTGCAACCAAGGAAGTAATTTTTTGGATACATATATCGACGAATTTCAGCGTCTGAGTCGCAGCAATGATGTATCCAAAAAGTACAAGATGATTAAATTCAAGAAGGGCCTGCGCTCGAACCAGTTAAGGGAACTAGTTAAGACCCAGATACACGAGTCATTGGACGAACTGTTCAATGCGGCCCGATCATTTAACCCTCGCGATGTACTAGCTGAAAAACCGACTGGAAGCCAGAACCCATATCCGGGTTCAAGCAAAAAAGCTGGTGCTTTGAAAAAAAACAAGAGCAGTGAGCTCGGTAAATGTAGCTCGTCTCGGTGTCTCGCGAAGGGGCATACAGAAGACAAGTGTTGGATGCGGCATCCGGAGCTGCGTCTGGCATGGTATAAAGATGAAGGAGGAAAGCGACTCGGAGCTGCATCAGCAGTGGTCGTACATTGTATCTCGGCTACGACAAGCGACAACGACAAAATGTGGGAAGTGTTAAGTGCTATTCAATCAGACCTTGCCAAGATCAAGTCTGATTTAAACTAACGGGTCTTCAAGATGGCGTCTCAAGACCGAACATAGACAGCACCAATGCCCAGAATCGCGTCTTTGATCCTGGCACAAAGGCAAATTACATGTACTTCGAGTCTGGAAACGGAGAAAAGAAGTTAACACCTGAACGCTATCTAATCAAGACGGTACGCTGCGAGAAAGATACGACATCCGCGGCAGCACGAACATTTTTTGATGAGGGAGCTGATTTTTGTGGAATTTCAGAGGAATTCGTGGAGCAGCAGGGCTGGATGAAGGGGGTTGTCGATCATGGCGCAATGCAAGTAACTTATGCTAGCGGGAAGACCGAGTCTGTGCGTCAGCAAACCATTCAGCTAACTGTCTTTGTGGAAGAATTGCCAGCGTTTGAGTTCGAGTTTTACCGGTGTCATATCCCATATCAGTGTGACATCAGGCTTGGAGTGCCATGAAAGCGGCTTGAAAGACCCATTTTCGACTGGGAAACGGATCGAATACTCTCTAGAGAAGCATTCATACAAGAGGTGACAGCAGGGACTGCTGCATGAACAACACCAAAGGCTCCAAGTCCACCAACGACCTGTTTGCCGGAAAAGCGATACTACCATAGCAGGCGTTTTGAATTCACAAAACATATCACGCTGAAACATGCGGACAAAATCATCCGAAAACAAGATGACGAGTTTGTTGCAATCATTCCGGAGGAGACCATCAACGCGCTGTACATGGAGATATTAAAAGAAGACGGCAAGGAAGCGGTGACAGTAAAGTTCGCACAGGCAGCAACATGTCTCGAGAAACATACTCGTCAGGTCATGACAGATCGGGAACGTTTTAAAGACACACCCGGCTACCCGCTCGTGTGCGAGTTTGCTGAATGCCAATTTCAGCGCTCCAAAAGCCTTGATACATTCTCCTGTCCACTTCAACTCCTTCCAGCCCTTGTGCTTAACCATTTCGAACAGAGGAGCACTGTTTTTCGAGAAATTCTTACAGAATGATTGAACGTAGACAGTGGTGCCCAAAAACAATTGCAAGTTTCGTTTAGGTTTTGGGAGTGGTCACTCCCGCACGACTCGAACTTTGTCCGGATCGATGCGTACACCCTGTCGCCCGACCAAAACTCCAAGACAGAGAATTCCTGCTCCGCAAATAGTAGATTTTGATATCTTGAGGACGATCTTCTTCTCGCGACATCTCTCGAACACACGTGGGACCGCAGCTAAGTGAGCTTTGACATCAGTCTCCTTAGTGAAAACGTAGATATCATCAAAATAAGTGGCGACGTTATCTGACAAGGCCTCAAAAATCCTCTGTACGATACGATTTAATGTTGCCGGCGTGTTACTGAGGCCCATGGGGACAGCTATGTATTCGAACAGTCCATCCTGTCACGGTGTACAGTTAGATGGTGGATTAACGATGCTGGCTGACTGCCTGCAGAAGGTCTACTCACTCCAGACTCTTTGGCCCACGTCCAAGCAAGCGGGACATGCGACCAAGACAGTGACGTTCCAAGTGTGAAGTCGGAAAGCAGCTGGTCGTGGCGGGAATTGGAGCTGGACCGCCACGCACGAGGGATCTGCTAAAAGGTAAGGAGCTCTAAAAACTCTTAGCGAGATGAAATGAGGAAGTCAGTCGTGGATTTCCTTCTAACAAACAACACAAGAAG